TTTTTATCGCTCTCATTAATATAGTGGAAAACAAATGTTTGCAGAATATGTATTTCATATATGAACATGCATTTTATATATGTATATAATACAAATGAAGAGCAAATTTCTTTGCATTTAAAATTTGTACTTTAATGAAATATTAATGGTTATATCTCACTTACTAAACCTTTTTGAACTCATTTAAGCATTGGATAACTGAGGACAAATATTTTAAAGGAAAAAGTTGCCTCATATGTTTCCTCCAGGTCTTTGGAATCCAGGAACTATCTAAGTTTGCAGGAGGTTTCTAAATTCAAGAGCTCAGTAAAGAAGAAACAAATGCAAAACAAGCAAACAAACAAAAAAACACCTGTTTGGATTAAGATAGTTAAACTAAAAAGAAAATAATCTTATGTAAGTTAAACCTACAATGTACCTTGGGATATATGGGATTTGGCATGTTTGTAACACAGGTTAAACTAATTTTACTGAAAAAAAAAGAAGAAAAGGAACTATAAAAATGAATGAAGGAATAAATGAATGCATACACACACACACACACACACACAGTTGCTTTATAAACAGGATTATCTACCAAAGGGCATTGATACCTTAGAAATTTACTATAAATTGCAGCTAACCTATATCAGAAGTTAAAAAAGACCACAGATAAAAATCTAACATTTAAATGGCAAAAATGCTTACCAGGAAGTTCCAAAACGTAAAAGGGCAGTAAAACCAAGCACAGCATGAATCAAAACAATTAACGCTGGAATGTCTCATCAGTTACTTTTTTTTTAAGGAGATTTTTTTTTAAAGTGAATCTCACTAAAGGGAAGTACCTGTTGGTCATTTTAAAGGCTGAATAAGGCCCAGCGCAAACGTATCTTTGACACTCACCTATCATTTTGGCTTCCTCTTCAGTTAATGTTTTACTCAGATATGTTTTCTTCACTCTCAGTGTGTTTCCTGAAGGGAGAACCGCTCCTGTAACGGGCATGGGAGGTTCACCATCTTTCTGCTGCAAGCTATCAGCTATCACCAAGAACGCCCGTAAACCAATGTTCATTCTCTGTAGGAGACAATATGTTCATGGTAAAGAGAAAGACCCAATCATTTCAGTGAAACTAAATCATCAGTCTTTCAGAGAAGTTAAGCATGGCTTGCCACCTAGATTGGCGTGAGAAAGTCATTTAAAAGGCACAAGAATTTGGGCCAAACTTATGAAAATAAAATTAAGTTTCTGACAACATTTGTTGCTATATTACAAGAAAACAACTGGGAAGATTTTCATCAAACTTAGAGGGTATGTTTGAGATGTCATGCTCAAATTATCTGGGGGATCCTGGGTGCACCTCAAAGGGACAGGCTGTCATCCTATAGGGCAGCTGCAACCAAGGCCAACTGAGGTCAACGAAAGTCTCTTCTGTCTCCTGGAAGGAGACCCGCGTTAATTCACAGAGACTGGATGAAAACAAACAGGAGTTCCAAATGTGAATCACAAAAACAAAAGTCTGCTCTGACCTGCAGGCTGTTGACTTTTGATTCACAAAGGCTGGCAAGTTTGAAAATAAATTAAAAAAATTAAATGCCACAGAACTTGTTACTGATTAAAAAACACACGCGCTTATACAAAGAAATGTCAATCCGGGCCAGATTGTTATCTTCCGCAGGCTCACGTAAGGCAAAATATTGGCTCTGAAAGATGACTTGGTACGACAGCTGCTCCCAGCAGCGATAATCTTAAAAGGTCAGAAGGTACTAAAACATCTGTACTTCCTTAAAAAAAGCTGAGGTTCAGAGAAGTCCATGGCCTATAGCTAGTGAAGGAGGCAGAGCCTGTGGCAAGCCTTAAGTCCAGCTCTGCTGACTTCGGGTTCAGTGTTCTTTCCACAATCTCACAGGGAAAAGGCTGCAAAGAGGCAGCTTGCCAGGTGTACTTCTCTTAGCCAACAGTCTTTTTAGAAGTTTAAAATTGAATGTGCTGCTCATTTGCATAGCAACCCCTTCCCTCATTCCATACTCATTACACACTCATTTCCATCATCTGCCTGGCCCTTGAGTTGTGATGCTGCCACAGAGTCATATATGCATACATCACTTACTTAATTTCACTAGATTTTGGGATTTAATCATTGCATGTACTGATTCTTCTCTGTTTCATCACTTGCCAGTACTTTTCAACTTGCTAATCTGCACTGAAATAGTTATAAGTAAAAGTACTGACTTTTCTAAAATAAACAACCTGGCTTGCACTGACAGATTATCTTTGGAAGCAAGGTTTGCTCCCTCGTACAAGGACGGCATATGGCTGCACACCAACTTTTCATCATTCTAAGTCTATTCATCCAAAGTCTTACTTCTGAAATTGAACCATCTTGACTGTTTAGCCAAATAACACAGAAAGAAACAAACAGAAGATATTTTGGAAGTGATGACCTTCACCCCATTCCCCAAGGCTGCAAAGCAAAGGTAGGGTTCTGTCAATACATGCTCTGTAAGAAGTACACAAGAGGATCATTCTTACCTCTGGATTGAGACTGAAAGCTTTTGCTGGTTTTCCCACACAGAGAAAATCAAAAATGATTTCTTTCATTGCAAAATCTAGACGCTCCTATAGTGAAAAAGGAAAACCACAACGAAGGTGTTACAATACTAATTTAACATGAAATGTCTATTTTGGTCATATACACCAAACAGGTGACTGCTGAAAGAGAGGTACCATTTAGTTTTATGCATCAGAGACTCCCTGAAGGAAAATCATTGTCTATTCGAACCTTTGGTGGAGCTGCTTCTGTTTTCATGAGGCATGTATAAATACTTTCATTATATATGTACTTAGGCCTAAAGCACAGAATGGCTAATGACTAAAAGCCAAGAAATAAAAAACCAAAACACTATCTGGGCTTATACACAGTACAAACTCTTCCTGCTTGTACTGCAAATGCTGATAACTTCTTGAAACTCAGTTTAAAATGTATTTTTTAAAATATCACTGCAAAATGGCCATTTTCTTCTACTCTCTAAATGCAGATCCTTTGGATCATGTTATAATAGACAATCTTGCAAGTGAAATGAATAATCAACCAACAAGACAATATCCAAGTTACTTAAATGAGAAAGTTTAAGCCAATTTCTAGTAATTTGAGGCAGTGACTAGTAAGATATGACATGTTCATTTTATATAAGATGTTTCAGAATAATCAAAGCACATTCTCAGTCACATGAAAACTACATGTAGGAAAGTTACATTAATTCATCTGCCTGCAAAGTAAGTAATGTCCTTTCCATAAGTACAAATAGCAAAGAGGCATTTCATTGTACTAAACACACACACAGAGGTCACATATTAAATAGTCTGTGAAGCAGCAACTGAACTTTACAACTTGATATCAATGTCAATAGCACTTCAACAGTATTTTCATGCCTACGATTTCCCCTCATCCACATGACATTCTGAGGGACAGCAGGCATTTTCATCCACATTTTACAGATAAAGACACTGAGAAAAAAGATGTTCTGTGACTTCTTTCAGGTATAGAACTGCCTCATGTCAGAGGCTGGAACAGAATAATCGTCTTTTTATACTTCTCTGTAAATCGCAAGGAAGTCCAAGTTGGGATAAAACCGTTTACACAAAGTGTTTTAAAAAGTAAAAATCTTGGGTCTAAATAGTAAACTAACACTGAAAACCATGTTTAATATTATTGGTCCTAGTTCTTAAGTAAACTAGTATGTGTAAAGTGCTTAGGACAGATCTTGGCAAAGAATAAGTGCTTGATAAATGTTAATAATGCTTTTACATTCCTCTTTTTCACAGGGTGAAAACTAGAGCATTATTTACTCCTCCAAGTTCACTAAATTGTCTTTTTCTGATTTCCTCCAAACATCAGACTCTGTTTCCTCCTGACTTGCAGAATCTAGAGCAGAGAAGCAGGAAAAAACAGAGACTAAGAGTCAGGACCCTTTTACTAATAGGCTCTGTGACCTTATATGAGTCACTTAAACCCTGTCTCTGGGGTCCTTCATTTGTCAAATGCTGAAAACACTTGGCAACCATGTCATAATTTGTTTTGAAGCAAAAAAAAAAAAAAAAAAAAAAAGCCATGTGTGAAAACACTTGCAAACCATTCTGATAAGTCTCTACACGTAAGATATTATTTTAGACCCTTCTTCTGTTAGTACCTCATAAGAAGGAGGTGGCTACTTAATTGCAATTAGAAGACTCTCACTGCCAGAAGCTTCTCCATTACCTGGGCAATGAACTGGATGATTTTCACAAAGATGTTCAGAGGCATATCCCTTGGCACCACACCACGGGACCCTTTGGGGAAAAGTGTTGTGATGATGGTTATAAGACGGCTGAAAGATAAGGGGAAAAAAAGAGAAAAACAAGCAAGATTGGCTGAGCTCCAGTACTTTAAGGGAAAATGGCAGATGCTTATCTAAGTATCTTATCTAAGTATCAGAGAGAATTCAGAAAAAGAAAACAAACCACTTCATTCCTTTTCCATTAGCATAATTACTCTATGAAAAGGTTTTCTGGAAAACTAAAGGCACTTGGAAAATTATAGCCATTTCCTTTGCTAAAGTGGTAAGTGTAGCCCTGACATGGATCTTGGCAGTTCTGGTAGAGGCTGGAGTTTCTGTAATGGCTGCCAAGCCAACGTCAAGGAAAGCCTGAAAATGTCCTTAGGGCTTAGATCTTTTAGAAGCTGTCCACTTTGAGCAGCTTCTAGTTTGGTTAGTGTAGGCAGCAATGAAACCAGATACCCTCTTCCCTGGCTAAGTGACGTGGTTACCATTAACCCAAGCCAGCTCCTTACCTCTGAGTAGCCGTGTTGCTTTCACATTTAATGCGAATCATGTAAACCCAAAGTAATCTGTACAGAGATTCCAGTGCAACTCGAGCCATCTTGGGGTCTTTATTCTACAACAGAAACCAAGATGTAGGATTTCAGATTAAATGGAGATTCTTCTTTTCTGAATGCCTGGAAATAGAGGGCCCCAGGAGGGTGGCAGGGTCCCTACTGGGTGCACTGCACCATCTGGGACTTACAAGGTCATTGCTTCCAGGTGCAATCTCTGAATAAGTAATCTCTGAGGAAGCATCCAAATTGCCAGAAGGGCAGGACAGAGGAGTTCTGGGGGAAGTCATGACGTTCTCTCCTTTCCAAGGTGAGACTGCCTTCTTCCTCCAGCCCTAGGGAACCAAATCCCCTAGAACCTAAAGGAGACTCCATCTGTTCTTTCTATTGCTGATTATGCCCTTGTAACACTGTTATCACTTTGATTCCCCAAACTCCTTACCACCCACCCTCACCTCCCATCTAATTACCCTCCAACATCTACTGAGACTAATTACACTAAGCACCGGGATGCAGAGATAAAAGGTAATCCTCTTCCCCTAAGATGTTCGCAATCTTTGAGGGATTGGGGGATGGATAATAAACAGTCAAAGACACAATGAAAAACTGGTAGGGACTGGAGCTCGAGGGTGGAAAGAAAGGTAACCCATGGCAAATCAAGGACGGGAGTCAGGAAAGGTTTCCAGGGGCAGACAAAACTCAGATGAACTTAAATCTATTCATTTATTCATTTGTTCATTCAACAAACATTCGAGCAGCTATACTGGGCCACGCCTTATGCTTGACTCTAGAAACTGAAATGATGGGGAGGGAAGGGCATTTTCTGCAGAGGCGACAGCATATGGGAGCTACGAGAGCTGGGGAAGAGGGGCCATGTTTTGGACCCTAGAATAGTTTGTACGCCAGTGCACACGCCCAGGCAAAGGAGCAGTGGCCCCTATGCCTTGAGAGGAAGGCAGGAGTCACATGAAGGACCCTACACGCCATGCTAAACCAAGAAACCAGGGTTATGATGGTGACAGGAAGCCGCGAAGAGCAAGGAGACCATGGAAGAAGTCTGCAGTGGGGGAACCGGAGCAGGGGCAGGGAGACCAGCTGGGGCACAGCTGCCAGCTTCCCGGCTCCAACAAATAGGCCAGAAGGGATGGAAAGGATTTTATCCTCTGAGGGACTTCACCTTCATACCTTCCTTTCTGACTCTCACTCCATCCTTTCATGGTTTTATAGATTTTTATCTACAAAATGGGTCTTGAATTCGGCATCTTCTCCGTTCCCATTTCCTGCTACAGCCCAGGCTTCCCGCCCTGTCCCTGGGGTTGCCGCAGTCACCTCCTGCACAGTCACACTCAATTGATTCCCTCCCCACGCCCTATCTGACACTGATCATAATCCTTTCTATTTAAAAGTCATGGGTTGGGTGGTCTCCCTGATGCTTACGTGATCAAGTTAACGTTTCTTGGCATGGTGTACCTGATCAGGCAATATCTGGCTCTAACCTACCTTTTCTGCCTCCCATCCTGTTTTTCTCCCACAAGCTCCCCAAGCTCTAGCGAGACCATCTTTGCTCCATTTCTGAGTCCGGAGTGGGTCCCTGCCCTCCCTTGTATCCTTCTTTTCTACCACATGAACCCTACTCTTTCACAGTCTACTTGAATGTCTCCTCCTTCGGGCAGGCTTCTCCAGTCCTCCTCAATATCCCGAATCCCATCCCATTAAAACACTTATCCCCTCCTGAGTGTTCCCTGACCCTCATACAAACATCTAGCCTAGCCTTTCAACTCTTCACTCATGGTCTTGTTTTGACATAAGCACCCACATAAATAGTGGGTTCTCTGAAAAGAAGAGGCAGTTACCCCAACATCTATTAGGATTCCTGCCACTCTGCTAGGAGATCAATAAGTGTTTGCTAAACAGCCTTGAAAAGTCCCTCTTAACCTTCTTATAGGTCTTTTGCTTTTATATTACTTCTCTTCCCTGTTCATTTATTAATCTTGTCATAACTGTTTTAGCTGCTGTACTCTGTAGAGAATTTGGATACTGCCTACGGCCATGCCATCCTGAACACGCCCAATCTCGTCTGATCTCGGATAATTTGGGTACTGATTTTTGAAGAACTCATAATTGTTTAGAGATAATCTAAGATAAATTTACCATTAAACTACTTACTGAATAAAGATGAGTCCCATAAATAAATTCTAAGGAAAAGACTACAGGGACTAGTCTTTTAGATTAGGAAAGAGAGATTTCTTATGTCTATGTATTTTTAAAATAACTTTGTAGTGTGAATATTATAAAATTCTCAATTTCTGTATGCATTTGGTCTGATTTTGGATTTTTTTCTTCTATTCGTCTGTCTCTTCACGTGCTGACACCACCTTATTTTAATTTTTGAGGCTATAGGATGCATTTTACTATCTTTAATGGTCAACCTTCTACCATCCTCTGCTCTTTTTCTTTTCTTTCTATTTTTAGGATTTTCTCAGATATTTGTGAAAATTTATTCTTCCAAATAAACTTTATAACTACTTTTCTAGCTCTAGGGAAAAAAATGCCCCAACTTTTTAGAAGCGTACATTTATATACACAAAGCACTTTTTTTGGTCTGTTAGTAAAACAGGTGATACACCTTATAGTATGTCGAATGTCTTGGTTACATACAAATACTTTAACTACTAAATGAGTAAAGTTGCATTTAAATTATTCCATCATTTAAAAATGTCAGGAATTCTAATTATCCTTCCTCCAGTCACTCCAGATCAGCAAATGTCTATGATGTGCTTCCACAGTGGTTAAAAGCAGACTCTAGACACACCCGGCATGGGTTTACACCCATCCTTGCCCTGCAGTTATTAGCAGCAGGGAACCTCTGCCATCTCCCTGGGTCTGATCGTCCCTGTCTGTGGAATACGGATGATATTCCTCCCTCCCTCCTAGGAGTGTTAGGAGAACTAAATGAGTTAGTGCACAGAAGGAATTTAGCACCGTTCCTGCCCATCATAATTAGTATTAGGTACGAGGCAAAGATCCAGCAGCAAACAAAGGAGATGTAGTCCCTGACTTCAGGGAGCCTCCATTCTAGTGGAAATGTGTCCTCCTTTGTGAATGTCCCTTTATCAGCACACATAATACACATATTTGCACAGCGTAGCATTCAGAATTCTCTCTTGTGCCTTGTCTCACATTGTGGATCATGACCAGGTAGGGCAATCATCACCTAACTTCCACTTAAGAGCTTAACTGAAATCTCTTGTTTAAATGATTTATATTACTGTCTTCTGTTTACTTCAATTTCTTTTATACTCTTTCCCTGCCCCTCTACCCACAATTATCTTTTTGATGCATCTTGTTGTGACTGATACCCTTTCACTCTTAAGAGTATGCTTGAGATTGTCTATTTTTGCTCCCACAGAGACTGAAGAATGTTAATGGCAACAAGTAGGGAGAACAGAGTTCAGTGATAACTTGGTTGGTGATAGGGTCATTGGCCAGACCGTTTCCCAAGATCCATCAGCTGATCATTTGCACCCAGTCACAGGGGCTTCCTATAAATATGCAAATTCTGTGGCTATGTCTGAGATATTCTAAACCAGAATCTCTAGAGGTAGGTTTCAACAAGTTGCATTTGTAACAGGCTCCTTCAGAGATTCTCATGGACACTAAGGTAAAGATCTACTGATAACAGCTTAATAAAAAATTCTAGTCATCTTTTGATCTTGTTATACTCAAAACTCTTGCAATTTTTCTTCCATCATACCTGAAGCAATTGAAGTAAACCTATTTCTTTCTGTTATATTTCCTTGCATATCACAGCACGGTCAACACCTTCCTTCTTTTTGGTACCCCCTTTTGATATCTCAATCAATTTACTTTGCTTGTAAGCATCTTTTTGATGACTGAACTATCCAAATAACACATGCTACAGCTTAGGATAACCTCTAAAATTACCATACCAACAGTTTACAGAGATTATTTTTCAATTCATAAATAAGGCATTCACAGAAAGTAATACACTTGTCATCTGATCACTAATTTTCACACCCAATTTATGTGCACTATTCGAATTTATAAATTCCACTCTGAAAGGTGCCTTTGACAGATCCGAAACATAGATCTAAGAGATTTTTCTCAAGTTCATAGAAATGAGGTTAATATTAAAACAGAATAATTACTTCTTAAACAGTTAATTCTGTACCCTTTAAATTTGATATTTACAGAGAACAGCAGTTGTTCTAAATGGTACCACACATTTTAATGCATTCAGGCAACGACTGTGGAATCCTTAATATACTACTCCCTGCTTCCCCTTATAAAATAAGAATATCATTAATATCCTTACTATTATATGAAAACTTAAGAAAAAGCATTTCTTTAACTTCATTGTGATTATTACACACAAATATGTATTAAGTGCTAAAGATAAGCTTCATCAAAAAAATTAGGAGTTTGGGATTAGCAGATACAAACTACTATACATATAAAATAGATAAAAAAACAAGGTCCTACTGTATGGCACAGGGAACTACATTTAATATGTTGTAATGACCTATAATGGAAAAGAACCTGAAAAAGAATATAAATATATCTGAATCACGTTGCTGTACACCTGAAATTAACACGACATTGTAAATCAACTATATGTCAATTAAGAAAAAATTCATGGCAACCACTTTTTTTTTAGATTCTTAATGGAAATCAAAAGACCTTCCTTGTACCTTCCGTGTCCTTTTTGAATGTATAATTCTCTATTATCATATCCTATTTGATTTTCTTTATAGCAGTTATCACTATCTGAAGTTTATTCCTTATCTATTTGTTTACTTGTTTACTGTCTTGTCTCCTCCTCTAAATTACAAAGTCTAAGAGACCAGAGAGTGTTACCGTCTCATTCATCACTTACTCCCAACACCTAGAAAAGTACCTGGCACATTTCTTGCCCCACTGACTGAGTAAGTGAATGCATTCAAATCCTAGCAGAAGTGGCGATTAAATCAGAAGAATTATTTTTAAATCTGTACTTTGGTCTCTAGAACAATGAAGCTAGGCTGACTAATGTCTAACCTTCAAATGACAGACCTTCAGTTTTGTTATCTGAGCAAAATTTTTAGGAAAACAAAGAATCATGAAAGCGTAGAGTTCAGTGCAGCCTCTGACATGATCATGATAATCCATGATGATGTGTCTAAAGGCCCTCCCACTGGCCTGGCTCACGACAGACCTCCAATTAATGAGGCTTCTTGTTGCTATTAATTACACAGTAAATAGATTTCTTAACTTTGAGGTTTGTTTTTGGTTTTTGTTTTGTTTTTATAATCAAGCCCTCACTGGTATATCATATTCATTATTATAAGAAAAAAGAAATTTAAAGATTCTCCTAATTACACCCATTTTTGAGCATAAGAAACTAGCATATAGTTATTATGAAGACTTCATAATTACTGCATTTTAAAAGAACTGTTAATAAAGGAGGATTCATGACAAAAAATAAAAATAATATGAAGTCAGG